GCTCCGACAGATCCTGTTGCTGAGCGGCACGACGCACCGAACAGCAACTGCGTACCACCCACAGACTAACGGGTTAACCGAACGTCTTAACAAAACGATTGCAGATATGCTTTCGATGTATGTCGCCAAGGATCAGAAGAATTGGGATGAAATCCTCCCGTATATAACATTTGCCTACAATACGGCTTTGCAGGAAACCACTGGCTTTGCTCCTTTTCGTCTGGTTTATGGCCACGATGTCACCACAATGCTTGACACCATGCTGCAACCAACTCTGCCGGACACGATCACCCCTGGACGCAGATGTATTTGTTCAGCGTGCCGAAGACGCCCGGCAGCTGGCGCGCTTTCGCATTTTATCGCGGCAAAATCAAGATGCTCTCCGGTACAACACCCACCACAGAGCAGTAATATACGAACCCGGAGACCTAGTCTGGGTTTGGACTCCTATACGTCACGTGGACGCTCAGAAAAATTGTTATGCCGGTACTTCGGACCCTACCGAGTTCTTCATCGCCTCGGCGAAGTGAACTACGAAGTTGTCCCAGCAGACACGTCCACACCGTTCTCGCAGACCCCGCTCCTCGGATGTGATTCACGTCTCCAGGATAGAAGCCGTACTATTCTCGTTGACTGCAAGACAAGAACCTTGTGATGTGGCAATATCCTTCAAGACAATTGCACATTACTTTCTTGCCTCTTTATTTTCATCTCGTCCTTTTCTTTTCAATGGACACAGACATTTCTTAGTACCTTTCGTTGTTTTCGGAGCCATGGCATTCATTCGATGCTTCTTTTTTTTTTTTCATTGGGAGAGGGTAATGCCACGCTGTGTTGGTGGCAGCAGACGAGAGCGAAGAAGTCAATGGCAGATCTGGCTGAGTATACAGACCTCCACTTCGCGTTCCTGCCTATCGTTTCCTCTCGCGACAAATAGTAATGAGATCTAACAGACAATATGCCAAGGAAAGTATGGGGAAGATATTAGAGCGAATTGTAATGTAAATATGAAGAAAAGTGGGTGAAAAGATAAATTGCCGTGTGCAGGGTCCGAAACTTCGACCTCGAATGACGCGTTCGATGCTCTACCACTGAGTTACCACGACAGCTATCCCCCAGCCACTTTGAAGGCACAGGAGTGGACATAGGTGGGTTTATATGTGAACTAAACGTGGTGTGTTAAGGTCAGCGCCACCAGCAGCCATGGCGGCGAGTGTAGCACACTTTTTTTCTATATATATATATATTATATATATATATATATAGTATATATGATATATATTTATATATAAGGACACAAGTTTATTGAAGGGCTCGTTTTTTGTGTTTTCACACAGTATTCTTGAGATGTAACAGATATAAATAATAAGGTACAGTGAAGTTATTAGGCGAATTGTTGTTTAAATGAGAAGAAACAAAGGTGGGGTGAAAAGATAACTCGCCGTGGGCAGGATCCATATATATAATCTATATATTATATATATATATATATATATATATATATATATATATATATATATATCTTGAGCCTATGCGTAAAACGGAAACGTAGTGTCTACGAAGACGAGTTATCGCTAACTTCGAATATAACTGTAACAATAAATTTCCGTATTGTAAATGTTATCTTTGCGTAGACAGTGTGTGGGAGCAGATAAACGATTTATTTCTCATAAAATAATCCTTCATACTGACAGCATGAAAGATTTGTGTTTAAGCTTCATTTAAAACATCGACAATTTACACAAATTCCAGCTTTGTCTTTACTGCTATTGACATAAACAAAAATGCTACCTTAAAGGCTAAGTTTTGCCGTATTGGCCATGAACAATTACGCAAGCTGAAGGGAACTAATGCAGTTGCAGCTGAACTAATGCAGTTGAGGTGTAAGATATTAAGCTCTTCACGGAATCAAGCTTAAAATATTAACAGGCACAACACAATGAAATGACGGCATTAAACGCACACACGTCTATTGCAACTAAGAATAAAAATAATCCATCGGAGGTAAGCCACCTAGGAATGTTATATAGTATCACCTATTGCCCGCCGAAGAAACCTACCAATCTGACCACGGTGATGGCAGGTTTGTGGTATTTTGCGCTTGGGGACACAGGAGTTCACATGAACACTTGGACTACGTTTATTTTCCAAATTCAAAGAATAAAACAACTAAACTTGTCTCGCTTTTTCACGCATTCTCCGTGGAACGATTATGAAAAAAAGTCGCTATTCCGAAATATATTGCATTTTGTGGTTAAACAAGTCTAAACGAACGCTATTTGTTTGCTTTTCCAAATGATCAATCCTTATGCTACCATAAACCGCATCGTGCTAATACAACTTTTTGTACAATGACCGTGTAATAATGGCAGAAGCAGTGCCCAGGCACGAGAAAGAGAAAGAAGTCAAAATAAAAGCAGCCGGCCCAGCGTACGAGCGTTGTCTCTTGCTCTCACTCAATACAATGGTGCAGTACGACAACTGAACCTCACCACAGAAGCAACCTGGTCTTCAGCGTCTGTGACATGACGGACTCACTACGCCGTCACTCTAGGAATGCTTCTTTAGTCATGGCGTGCTGATGAATGCTGCCGCACAGATCCCAATTGGGCATGGTGTGCAGGCCTCCTGGGTACCTGCTGTCCCGCCGGCGACACAATCAACGTGCGGGGACGGCGTTCAGGTGTTGTCATTGGCTCGACGGTGTTTTACCGAGGCTTTCAATTATCGCGTTCACTACGTTTCTATGATTCAGGACATCGCCACCCTCACTTCTGCTAAAACAGAATGTTCCTCGGCCGCTGCCAATAGTTGCCTGGAGGGCTCCTCCGAAGATGCTGCGAGGATCATCGGCGAGGCCACACACTTGTCTGAGCAGCTGTTACTTTCGAACTAGGCAGTCTCAGCCGGCATCATGAGTACCAGAGCGTCCGTATCTCCACGCTCATCACTCCTGGCTCCTCGGGCCCCTCACACACTCTACCTAAGGACGTAATGCGGCAACACATTTGCTTGCCAGGAGATAGATCGCTTCCTCATGCGCACTACCGGGCCCCTGTACTTGACACTACATTATAGTGTCATAAGAGCTAATGGAGTTCTGAACAATGCAAGATGATTGGGCGCTGTGAGTCGACACGTCGAATGCTCTCGGTGCCCGCTATGCCAGTCAGGAGGGTTGAAAATGGTTGGTGGATATCGACCACCTTTTCGGTGCTGTGAAGGACTAGAATAATTATGAAGGTGTACAACAGAACTCTGGTTTGAATTGGTAAGAGGTTGGACGAGTGTTTCCGCTGCTTTTTTACAACTGCTATTCCTTCGACGCCGACCAACTCTTTATCCCGCATGAGAGCTGCGAGGCACCACAACCTCAATCACGCAGCTCAGGCTTCCATCATTGTGCCTTTCTTGGACACCCTGGTCGTAAAGGGCTTCACTTTGACGCTGCAGATGTGTCCTACGACCTTCTCGGCAGAAAACACTATCGTCTTCCCTGCTGGTGAAAGTGACCTCCAACACTGTGCACCATTACAGCTTTCTGAGTGAGCGTCAGTGCGTGATGCGACCGGTATATCGCCAGAGACATGAGAGCAATTGCCACCAGCCTCAGTCGGAGAAGTTGCTCTCACGTGTCATCATCACTCGAACACGTGAACGCCTGTGACTGCTGCCTAAGGGGCAATCCACTTCTTTCTCAACTGGACCAAACAAACAATGCCAATAAAATACCCCCCTCCCTTGCAGCAACGTCCCCGGATGCCACAACGCACCTCATTTATTGGCCGAGTGTGCGAACCTCAACACGAAAGCCGTTGACGCGCCCCGAGCAGACGTGGCTGGCATCGACCGTTCCGGAAGCCTTGCGTCCCAAGTCGATAGGAACATAGACGCTGCTACGTGGAATCACAATCAGTAGTGCAGTTTGGCTGACCTTGTGCTCATCCTTAGCTGCGCCAAGCATTTGCCTGTCCGGAACACCGACGCGAATGAAGACCGGTGCCCCAAGCTGTGCCAGCTGAATTGCCTGCTAAGCGTGATGCTGCTGCAATAAGACAATTACGGTCGCTCACCGGAATGTTCGACAGCCCGCAAGGCGACTCGTGGCGTCCATGTGAGAGACACCGCGACACAGCCAATAGCACGGCCAGGCACAGTTTCGGTTAGGTTGGTAGCTCATGGCTCCGGGCCTGGGGCCGACAGCGGGCATTGCAAAACCACAAATGTCGCCCATCAGAGCCATCGTCACGAGGCTTTCAAAGCAAAGCACAACGAGCTGCACGACTTAGTAACAGCGTACACAAGAGCCATCATCACCTCACTTTAAACTCAAGACGCATCATGGCCATGACCAACCTCTGCGAGGAAGCGAATGCCGGCCAGCAGTGGTATTAGTTCTACCTATGGTGGTTGATATCCTTCGAAGAGAGGACCTGTTCCAGCGAAGGGAGAGCTTTGGCAGTTTTTCATGCACGCAATGTGGCCCAGTGCAATAATCACAGAAGCAGAGCACAGTCATGGCTGCATACCCAGCTACAGGAGGAAGAGAAAGAAGTCAGAATAAGAACAGCCGGCCCAACGTACGGGCATTTTTCCTTGTTCTCAGTCGTACAACCGTTGCAAGTAAATGCTTCCCACGGTCCTTCCATCTGCCTTCTATTCTGTCTGCTAGTGATAGTAAAGTGCCCAAACGTGGGCATCAAAATTACGGCGGTGTCACACAAAGTGATGACCGTCGAAACGAAAAAGGTGCTATGTATAGCATTGAATCGTAGTGCTTCAATTTTTCAATGTAATGAGGAATCACAATTTTGAATGAGTTGCCATAAATTTGAAGATATTGTACCGATTAACCTCAGGCTCGTCTGGGTCAGCATGGCGTATATGTTTCCGAATCACCTTTTTAATCTATATTGTTCTTTTCCGACAGACGTTTCGCAATGGTTTTTAAAGAGTGTAAAGCTAGTTTCAAAAATCTCAAAATAAATGCCACCTCTTACCGAATACGTAGTGCAGGCCCCAAGAGAGCTGCAACACCACCATAAACTGTTTAATTATCATTGCTGAACCTTTTGCTTCACACATTTAGAAAAATGGTGCGTGGAAGCGTGAACCTACAATGGAATAGAGAAGGGGCAATACACTTTACCGCATTTATATCCTTCGAACGACCAGCCTAAATAATGGGCACATTGTTGTGGAATTTTATCTCCTGTTCTGTGTTTAAAACTGCAAATAATTTATTCATCGCGAATGAGAAGAAGGTTTTGTGAACTGGAATGCAAGAAAATTATTTCGGGACCATCCATGTTCAGGCATTATGTGTACCACATGCACCAGAAGTTACGACTGAATGTATTTCTACTCTTTAGAGGCTAGATAAAGGTATGGCGCTTCGAATAATTGCGTGAGCATAGAGATGTAAAAAAGCGGCCACGTTGCATTTTACTCCTGTTTCTATATGACATGCGCGCTTGCGCATTGTGCATTGTTGTATGAAAGGGTGACGTATATTAAATATAGGGCTATGTCCACACAAAGTAATGCGGCTGCACTAAACATCATTATCAGACGATATCGTGATTTCACACTCTGGGATTCATACAGTGAGAAATCATGCGGCTAATCCCCGCAGCTCTGTGTTATTTGCTGATTGATTTTATGTTAGTGTCTGTAGACCGTACATAGTTAGTGCTTGATCGCATTGGTCCTGATGGACTCTACTGCATTTACCACAATGGAATCAATAAAACTCCAACTGGCCTATGCCAATGAAGCTTTCGCACAAAACTACTTTCTCTATAACCGGTAGCATGCTTTTAATTACGACCAATTAAGCTGGTGCTATATATTGAACCTTGCTATGCACCAACTACGTGGTCTTATATGAATATGCGCAATAACGTGTGTGATTTGTAAAGGGTGCATGGTTTGAAACCACACAGCCGTTAAGATAATCACACGCCCGATGACAATGCACGCTTGGAAAACATGAGACGTTCCCCACCACCGAATAACCGCCAAAGAGAGGGAGCGCCACTCAGCCTCTTTTCTAGGTTCCCTCTTGGCTTTACATCTCAACCACTTTCTACACACAGGAATCTGTGGTAGGCCCAGGAAGTAAGAGACACTATGGCCTTTTCCTAATTATTGACGCATTTGATTTAATATTAGCAAGTACGAACGGCACCCACATGCAGCTCGCATACGCTTCTGCTGCACCAAGTTATAATACATGAGAAGAGCACTCGCGACGTGCAAGGAAGGATAAATAAGCAAATTAACTGCAACAGTACAGGGTTACCCCTATATGAAGAAAACACAGGACAACAACAATGGTGAAGATATTAATTATTCAAACCACGCATTGCCTCTACTCGCCGCATCGCTCACGATGTTCGTCTCACAAAAGGTCCTGTTATCGGGGCTTCGGAGTTGGCTGTTCGAGTCGGGGCTCAGGGCTTCTTCCACTGAGTCACTGTCCAACTCGCCAAGGTCTTCATTGCCTTCGTCATCGTCACCTTCATTGTATTTTTCAGCCTTTTCCATCTTAGTCCCCTCTCGTATAAGTTCCAATCAACTCGCCTCCTCGTCTCTCATATCCAACTTCCCTTCCTAACTATACCACCTCTGCCTCTGTCATGATCTAATCGACTCTCATCGCTATTTCTTCGCACCGTAATATATTCCTTTTCCATTACTTATTCTAACAAGTCAATTTCAACACACCATCTCCTCTCCCGATTGCCGTTCTGCGGTCCCTTTTTGTAAAATCCCTCTCCTCTCCTCCATGGCACCTAACCAATTTGCTACTATCTACGTGACATATTTATTTGTCAGAAGGTGTGTGTCAGCTTCGACGACTGCCCAGCCAACGCATAGGTGAAGCCTCTCTCAAGCAATGTAAAGCAGGCAAAATCTAGAAGCTTCACGTTTATAGAGACAAACGGGGAACCCGTCCCATGACGCGTGAATTATGAGCGACCAGGATTCCCAACGCTCAGACAAAGCGCGCTGTTCTAATGACCGACGCACGCAGTTGGAGTGCTGCGCCAAAAAGGCCCTAGCCGCCCCGATTTCCCCAGTTTCCGGTGGCTGAGGACCCAATCTCCAGATTGAGTTCTGACGTCTCCAGCCCGGTGTGTCGCGCAATTCTCCGCAGTCACCGTCTCTTCGTCCTTGAAGGCGGCAAGTGGCCATCTAGGGAAAACGCGGTATTGAGCCTGGGAGCCGAGGAGGCTGACGGAGCGCCAGGCCTGGCCCGGTACAGGTGCTGCAGCAAGCTCGCATAATTAGAACCACACAAAAGGCGCTCCGCTGCTCCCATGCCAGTATTCTGAATGGCGCGCATGGTGCATCGCCACCGTAGAGTCCGCACACAAGAAGCCGCCACACGGTCGAGGTGTTTGCATGGTGAGCCCGCGAAACCGTCGACAGAATTCTTCCAGGAACTCCACTCCGAAATGTGCATTCTTTACACCGGGAATTTTTTTCGCCGAGGCTTGGGTTGAATAAGTAAAAGTAAACATCTTGAAAGACCCAGGGTCCAGTCCACATCACGGGAACGTCGCACAAACAACATTACTGCTATAATACATGCTGTATTGTGACTACTGCATAGAGAACACGTGTGTTTGTATAGCAGGGGTTATTTTCACTGCCTTTCCAAGCAGACGCGTGGTTGTGTGCTATAACGCCTGCTTGCCTCGCAGAAAGCCTGGGATCAACACTATAAGCCACACCCGCAAATAAACATGATTTATTACTTGCATACTTCTCAATTATTCAGTCAGGCACAAGAAATTTATTTCTCTGAGAACGAATGGCGATGACTCCGTCAGTGATGCCGGCGCCGGAATTTGTGTGAACCATGCTTTTTAATGTCGTGGCGTCATTAAAATACAAAAACTAAATATGATTGTACGCAAACAGTATTTGGCAATCGGGCACCTCGCATGCCGTTGACGAAAATGAGGTCTTGCTTTCCTACAGCTGGAGACAGTCTTTGTACGCAAAAAGATCTACCGTCATCTTGAGGTGAGTGGGATCATTGCAGGCTCACTCAAATGCAACGCTGCTTGTATGCTGACATATTTGCTCTGAGGTCAAAAGTTTGCAGCCATGTTCATCGCTGCAATTATGAAAACTTCATGCACTATGGCGAAGCAGCCGCCAATCGCACGCAGAGATCAACCATATTCCTCACAGAATCTCCTCAGCAGTGAGCATGAGGTGAGAGACAGTAAAACATACTGGGTCACTATTTTACACGTTGGGTGAAGCACAAAATGCATAGAAACAAGGCTTTTGTTTCAAATAGAATATTGTTTGCCACTTCAATTGCTTTTCATCTTTCTCATATATGGGCCATTTCTGAAAGAAACCTGGCACCAGGATTTCCCCAACATATATATACATATACCACCAAAACAACTTTATTCTGGGCGACAGCTTACCATATGAAGTTTGTGTTTCACTGTAACGTATGAACACATGTTGACAGCAAAAGTTCCTTCAAGGAAAAGAAATGTTTCAAACAAATCATGCCTATATAGCCCGTTACCGCAATTATTAGGTCCTCTTTTTTTTTCTGAACAAAAGCATGGGTGGGAGCGTAGGAAGAGGTGAGGTAGAGGGAACAGTTCATTTCCTATGTCACCTTATCAAGGTGAGTGCGCAATTGCCCTTACATTGATTTAGAGAGCGGGCCGCTGTGACAAACTTTCGCCACAGCCACCGAAAGGGAACCCCTTGGCACCCTTATGCTTACAATCACCGATACCGACGCTACACAGGAATATCCCTAAACGAGCCTTTGGATAGAATAGCGTTCACACGTAGGAGCAGTTTGTAGCGCAAATAAGGCATATAAAAAATTAAACATTACTTTATTGTTTCATGTCCTTTTTTGCGTTCGTCGTATTCGCACTACGATGAGTTACGGTTCCTGTGGTAAGTCACAGATCTCTGACTAATGTTTCACCCTCTGGCTGATAGTGTACTTGAGATCATTATTAGTTTCGCCGGACCACCATATATGTATTTGAAGCTAAAACAATAAAATTCAGGATTCGTATGTATGGGGACCTCCAGGCGGAGGGCTCCGTAGTCTGCATCTGCGAACGCAGGTGTTTGGTGTGTGGCGACATAACGGACTCAAGCTAAAGGGAGTTTCGACTCCCTCTCATGCTTAGCCGTGTGTGGCATTGCCTTGTCTCGGAAAAAGGAGATCATGTGAGTTCAGCCGACGCCAGGTGATTGGACCTTTAGGGCACCGCGCAGCACCCCTAGGCTGACTCCCCCAGGGAAATTCGGCAGTCGCCTTTTCTTCGTCTTCCTCTCTCACTTTTTATCTCTTTATCCTTTTCGTGTAATTCCAATCTTTCCTGGTGACAAGAGTTAACCTTGTGTGGTTGCCCAGTCTTAACTATTCATTATTATGTTGTAGCAGCACTCTACAGCTAGCGTTAGCAGGAAGCTGGGCGCGGTGGTGGGCGGCTGACACCGCTGTCAAACTTAAACCACCCGTTATGTTAAGTGATTCATTTTTCAAAGCTGATGGTAACCTGAAAAGGTTGCGCACCAAAGAATTCATTCAATTCTTTGCAAACACCAACGAACCTTTTCTAAAATATCATCTAATAATTAGTAAACAGTCTGATAGAAAAAACAGAACTATGTTTATATTTTCGGTAGCAAGGAACCTAGAAGAGGAACTAGATCCTGGCTATCAGGCCTGTAAGATGAGTAGTGGCAATCTGCTGCTTCAACTGCGAGACAGGAAGCAATTTAACCCTCTACCCCTGAATATGAAATTCATTGAAAACGCCCTATCACAGTAAGTTCACACAGGTCTATGAATATCGTTCGATGTGTTGTCTCTGATGATCTCCTGAGCCTAATTGAAGCTGAACTGCTTGACAGATTGACAGAGGAAATTGTTGTAAGCGTCCAAAGAATTAAAGTCAGTAGGAACAACTCAGACAAACCAGTAAACACATTATACTTACATTTCAGTCTAGTGAGCTTCCAGAACACGTTGAAACAGCCTGCA